GGTCCCCCGCTTTTCGTAGTTCCCGGCAATCGTAAAATTCCCAATCATAGGGGTATTTCGATAAACATGGACTCGATTCATAGTCTGTCTCCGCGAGTGTAGTTCGTCCGGACGCGTAACACAGTGTGAGCCATGGGGGAGCCAGTCTGGCATGTTACCATACGATAGGTCCCCTTGCGTGCTCCAGCAAATAATTTCATAATATTCCATTTATTTTTAGTGCTGCAAGTACTAAATACACGCTACCATGGCTCCAAAGAAAGCACCTAGTGCCAGCCGTGAAAGAAGGTGAGAATGCGATGAATTTAAGAAAACCATCATTGAACAATATGAAGGGTAACAAGTAGTGCCAACTGTCCAGATGTATAAGAAACCCTACACAACCTTATGTCCATAGTGGCCCAAGAAAAGAAAAAAAGGACTGTTGTTGCAAGGGAGTAACTATGCTGACACAAATGAGATCACGTACTGAAGAGTTGAGAATTATTATTGTGTGGATAAATGAGAACAATTAGCAGAATACCGTTTATTTGTGAAAAGGCTGGGCCCAGTTGCATGAAGTTTTGGGTAAAGAAATTGCCTTGCAAATAGTGGTAAAAGTGAGTGAATTTAAGGCACAAAGGCTGGTTTGAGAGATTAAGAACTGTACTGGCATACACATGTGGTAAGGCAGGGTGAGCTGCCAGTTGGACCACAAAGGGGGCTGAAAAATATTGCATAAATTTCCAGGTACATAAACAGTGGAAGGGACTAAACTGAACAAGTGTTCATTTGAAGATTATTATTATTATAATCAAGGGGAAGCGCTAAAACCCGGAAATTATAACAGCGCCTGGGGGGGGGGGATTTTGAAGGTTTTCAGGCTTAATTTGGGGACTGGAGCACAGATCCAATTCCCTAAATAAAGAAGCCCCTCACCAACAAAGGAACCTTCCTGAGGGACAATTGTGAGAAACAGGCCTCTTTTGGAAGAAAATGCCAAAGAGGACCTTCATTACACAAGAGGAAAAGGCAATGCCAGGACATAAGCCTATGAAAGACAGGCTGCGCTAATGTTCTGAGCTAATGTAGTGGGGTTTTTCAAAGTGAAGCCATTACTAGTGTACCATTCTGAAAATCCCAGTGTGTTTCAGGAAAAACAATGTTATGAAGAGTAAATTGTGTGTTTTGGAAATCTAATAGTAAGGCATGGGTCACGAGGGAAATTTTCGTCGAGTGGTTAAATGAAGTGTTTGGTCCATGTGAAGGAGTATCTCCTGGAAAAGAAATTGGATCTCAAGTGCGTGCTAGTAATGGACAATGCACCTGCTCATCCTCCAAAACTTGGATGACCTAATTTTCGGGGGAGTTGGGTTCATCACAGTAAAGTTCTTGCCCCCAAATACCACTCCTCTCCTCCAGCCCCTGGAAAAAGCAGGTTATTGCAAACTTTAAAAAACTCTACACAAAAGCAATGTTTCACAGGGGCTTGACTGTGACCACAGACACTCACTTGACCCTAAGGGAATTTTGGAGAGAACACTTCAGCATCCTCCACTGCATAACCCTTATAGGTATGGCTTGGGAGGGAGTGACTACCAGGACTTTGAACTCTGCCTGGAGAAAATTGTGGCGAGATTGTGTCGACAAGAGGGAATTTTGAAGGTTTGGATGACCCTAAGGGGCCTATGTCTGTTGAAAATCAGTTGTGGCACTGGGGGGTTCCATGGGGTTGGATGGAGTTTGGAGGATGTGAAGAATTGGTGGGAAAACCACAATGAAGAGCTCCCACTGAGGAGCGCAAGAGCTTCAGCAGGAAGAGCAAAACATCGCAGCTCAGAATCTTGCGGGAGAGGGGAGGAGAAGAGAATGGAAGAAGTGCCTTCTTCAGAAATTAAAGAGATTTTTACTATGTGGGGGGAAGATGGAAAGCTTTATGGGGAAACATCACCCTAACAAGGTTTTTGCGAGCCAAGTTGGCAACATGTACAGTGGGCAAAGTCTTGGGGCCCTTTTAGGGAAGTGTTAGAGACACCAAAAACAGAGCTCTCTCCACAGTTATTTTGTGAGACAGGACTCCAGTGACTCTCAAAGTGGTCCTAGTGGGATTAAGAAACAGAGAAGAGAAGCAACCCCAGAAAAGCAAATGGTACCTGAGTGGTTGATAGAAGGGGATTCCCCTTTCCCAAACTGTAAACAATCCACTCTCTCTCCTCCTCCAGTCTCCCATACACTAAGAAGAATCTCCAATAAAGGTAAGTGTTATGCTGTTAATGTTTCATTCATCATTTCCCATTGTATTGTTTATGTACTACATGTATATTTCATGTTAAAAAAATTTTTGTTTTAATACTTCTGGGTGTCAGGAACGGATTAATTGTATTTACATTATTTCTTATGGGGAAAATTGATTCGTAAATCGTAAATTTCGTTTATAGTAACGGCTCCAGGAACGGATTAATTACGAACAACGATGGAGCACTGTATTATGAAGTTAGCGGTCTCGGCAGTATTTATGCATCGGCGATGTTGCCCAATTTGAGCCCTATTTTGGGCAAATTCCATTGTTCCAGTTGACCAAACTCATGGCTATTTCACTAGAACTACTTTCATTCTATTAATTGAGTACAAGAAACTGCCCATTTACCTATTTCAACTACCCAGTAAAGTGATCTGAAACTACTAATTTGGCCAATTTCACACAAGTCAAGAAAGGCCAATTTCAAAATAGGGTCCAGAATAAACATTGCAGATATTCCTGGCACTAAAATAACATTTTCTCTGTTCATTAATCATGTCTCCAGGCCCTTCTTATATTACGCTTGCTTTTCGTTTTGAATTTTTATTCACACAAAAAATTCAAGATTTACTGTTATTCAGACCTCTGAATAATTGTACAAATGATATCAGTGCATTTGTGAATGCATATTAGACCCCCAGTTGACGTGTATTGGATGTACGACATGATTTGTTTACTCTTGAACATTGGCAGAAATCGAACATTTGCGTACTTTGACCTTTTTTTTTTTTTTGACCCTTGTAGGTTTAGCACTTCTTTTTTAATAATAATAATTCTGCTACTTTGTGCTCAATTTCAAGCTACTTTTAGTCTGTAAACCATTCAGAATCATCTCTATTTCTGTAATATATCTTCCATTCTATCAAATGAGACCAAGAAAACGAGAATACAACCATAAATATCACATGAAAATACGTACACCGTAAAGTCGCTGTTCTAAACCAAAAAACATGGTCGCAGTTTTTTTTTTCCATTATGCACTGCGTGCTGCAGTATTTTTTTTTTTTTTTTTTTTTTTTTTTTTTTTTTTTTTTTTTTTTATACTTCACACACTAACCATGCAGACCCATTCTCTCACATGTAGACCTACCAGCTTTCTCCTGCAAGATTTGAAGCTGCTAGAATTTTGCCATTAGCTCTCCTCTGACAGGTAAGAGGCAGTTAAATTTTCATTTACTGTACAGTATTTCAGTTAAATTTTCATTTAGTATTCATTTTTACAGTTTCCATGTGCTGTATAATTTTATATTGTTTTATGTAGTAGTTAGTACATTATTATTAATAAATTATTATACAGTGGACCCCCGCTTTACGATGGCATCACGTTATGTTAAATCCGCCATACGATACATTTTAAAGCAAAAATTTTGCCTCGCCTCACGCTAAAAAACTCACCTTAAGTGATTCGTCTGGGATGCGTCCCACATGTGACCTCAGCACTAGTGTTTACAAGCCAGCCAGTGTGGCTGCATCTACGCACACATTCGGTATATTTCGCATTATCCCAGTGTTTTTAGTGCTTGTAACTGCAAAATAAGTCACCATGGACCCCAAGAAAGCTTCTAGTGCCATCCCTGTGGTAAAAAGGGCAAGAATTAGTATGGAATTGAAAAGAGAGATTAAGGAAATGTGTGCAAAGTGGGTTGAACTGCAAACCTTTATGGATGAAAATCACCCTGACACAGCTACTGCAAGCTGTGTTGGCAACCTGTACAATGACAATGTTATGGCCCATTTTAGGAAAGTCTGAAAGGAACGGGAGGTACAGACCTCTATGGACAGATTTGTTGTGCGACAGATGTCCAGTGTCTCTCAAGCTGGTCTTAGTGGCATTAAAAGAAGAGAAGTAACCCCGGAAAAGGACTTGCTACCTCAAGTCCTAATGGAAGGGGATTTCCCTTCTAAACAGTAACAACTTCCACACACTCCCCTCCTCCCATCTCATCAATCATCACCAGATCTTCAATAAAGGTAAGTCTCATGTATTCTATTCTTAGTAGAGTAGTAATTGTGCATGTCTTCTTCAGTTTGTGTGTATTAAAATTAATATTTCATGTTGTAAAAAAATTTTTTTTTTCATACTTTGGGTGTCTTGCACGGATTAATTTGATTTCCATTATTTCTTATGGGGAAAATTAATTCGCCTTACGATAATTTCGGCTTACGATGAGCTCTCAGGAATGGATTAATATTGTAAGGCGGGGGTCCACTGTATTGTCATTTGGGGTTTGGAATGGATTAATTCTATTTACATTAGCCCTTGTGGCTTAGCGCTTCTTTTTGAGTATAATAATCTATTTACATTATTCTTTATGAGAAAAATTGCTTTGGTTGTCATCCATTTTGGTTGTCAAACCAACTTCTGGAACGAATTCAGTTCAACAACCGAGGTTCCACTGTATATGTACTGTAGCTGAAGTGAGAGGCATGTAGAAATGTGTTATAAGGTCAGTGAATGATTAAAGGATTAAAAGCATAAATATTGACAGGTGAGAACTACAATTACAGGTATTCATTTTTTTTTTAAATAATTAACTGTATTAGGAACAAAATGGTAAAAAATATTGCCTACGTTTCTAGGGTGAAGTCTGTTTCTCCCCCCCCCCCCCCAGAATGCCAAAGGCTAAACACTTTCATATTTTGTACAGCATTTATTTTTTCTTTATATCTAAATAACTTTGAATATGTGTTGTTATAATTCTTTGTCTTATTTTTGAAACAGGTGACAAGTGCTCTAGGTGCCACCTACCTAGGTGCACAGAAAGCAAGTTATGATATGCCTCGTGACTACAGTAAGAATGTAACTCCATTCTTCACATATGTTCACCCTACATCACTGACTTCTAGTCTTCCTACCAAAGGTATTCCTAAGGCTGTCAATGTGAATCATGAAAATAAATATGTTTGCTCAAATGGCAAAGTTCCTGATGCTTCTACAAATGGACAAGCTAATGGAGCTTCAAATGGAACTCATTCAAATGGACTCAGTACATGAGATTCCGACTACAGCATACAGCAAGCTTCAACTAACTTTCAGTTTTAGAGAACAAAGAGCAAGCTTGAATGAAAGGAACCTTGGTATTAAGTGTGAATGAGCTGTAAGATATAGAAAATTTAAAATATTGAATGGTGTAGTAATTAGAAAAGAATTTTCCCTCATCATTGTATGTACTTTCAAATTGAGGGTTACAGTATGTTTTAGTTTAAATGAGTATTAAATAGACACTGGAAAATTGCTGCAATGAAAACATAACTTTTCCTGGTCATAGTATTAGTCTAACTTTATAGGTTACACTGATTTCTCATATCAAGAGCATTGTAGTCTTCCATACAGAGTTCATTGGTATATTTTTCTATAATGTCAATTTATAAAATTAAGCCAACTAAATTTGGGACTACTGTTCTGTACTGTCTATTTTATAGTTCGTATAAAATTCTAAACTTGAATATTTTTGTACATAGAGAATTTAAGCAATTGCCAAATGTAGGTAAGACATTTAAAATTTAAAGTATTTTACTAATGTTGGTTACCACTCAGCTTGAAGTTTCCTGACAAGCTAATTTTGATGAGTACTGTTATATAGTACATCCAGCTGGATTATAATAAAGATTAATACAGTACACCTTTTGTGACATTTCCTATTACTGTGTATATAGTATACAGTAATGCTTTTCATGACTGTGCATAAGAAGGCAAGTAGAAAATATACGAGTATGTTTTATACAAAAGTTATAGTGCAGATTTTTAGAAATCAGTCAAATTTTAGAATTTAACTGGCCAAGAAACAATGCTATAATAAGCATCATATATATACAATGGCTGATATGCAGGTACATGTAAATGAAAATATTAAATCCACATCCATGCTGAGTAAAAAAAAACAAAATAGAAAAATTGGATTCTTAATCAAATGTTAAAAAACTTAATTTTGGGATTAACCCTTTCAGGGTCCGTCCCGTAGATCTACGGCTTTACGTTCAGGGTCCAAACCGTAGATCTACGCCATGAGCTCAGCTCACTCTGATAAACTGTGAGTGGTACATTTGGGCCTAGATATGAGAGAATACATCTATGTGGTATCTGTGCACCACATAAAACAGATCCTGCAGCACACTGTGTATAATGAGAGAAAAAAAATGAAATCATGATTTTTCGATTAAAACAGCAACTTTGCAGTGTTTTTTCGTATGTTTTTTATAGTTGTATTTGCGATTTCTTGGTCTCATTTGATAGAATGGAAGACATATTACAGAAATAGAGATGATTTTGATTGGTTTTAGCACTGGAAGTGGCTTGAAACTGAGCTCAAAGTAGCGGAAATGTTAAATTTTTGCCGATATTCAGAGTAAACAAACGACCTCACACGTCTAATACACGTCAGCTGGTGGGTCTATATACATTCACAAATATGGTGATGATATTTATACAATTATTACAGTATTGCATAACAGTAAATCTTCTTTTTTTTGGTGTGAATAAAAATTCATTATGTGAATAAAAAATCAAAATGGAATTTATTTGTAAAGCCTCAAAACATAACTAATGAACAGAGGAAATGTTAGTTTAGTGCCAGGAATGCCTACATTGTTCATTCTGGACCCTATTTTGAAATTGGAATATTTTGAACTTTGTGTTAAATTGGACCAAATTAACAATTTCCGATCACTTTATTTTGTAGTTGAAACAGTTGACTTGGCGATTTCTTGTGCTCAGTCGATAGAATAGAAGTAATACTAGTGAAATAGCTAAGAATTTGGTTGATTGGAATAATGTAATTGGCCTAAAATGGGAGTCAAAGTCGGCAAAATCGCCGATTCGTAAATATCGCTGACACATCAAAATTCGCGAGAGCATAATTTCGTCAATTTTCCACCAAATTTCGTACTTTTTGTTTTATTACCTTCACAAAAAGATTCTCTACGATTTCATAAGAAAAAATAACAAATTTTTTTTTTTAAATTCTTGGACACTGGTGCGTGACTCCAGATTTGGGCCTTGGACCCTGAAAGGGTTAAAAAAATGGCCAGTATGCCTAGGTTGTAAGCAAATAGCTGTATAATCCTCCGGGTTTAGCGCTTACCCCTTGATTATAATAATAATAATGTAAGCAAATAATATTTCCATACCATTTGAAGCAATAATTAATGGAGAACAATTTGCATGATAGAATATTTGGAATAATACAAAATATAAACACTAGAAACCAACATGCTTGGGACAGACCATGCCAGTTTCTTGAAAAATTACATTTTATAGGGTATTTTTCATTTTTTAAGAATGCAAAGCCAGCTCAGTCATGACAAATCTGGGAAGGAATGCTTGTGAGATGCTGAAACTGGATCATGATGCAAATGTCACCAATTTGACGGTTTTGTGCTTTTTCTATACTTAAAACTTGTTTTGAGTACTGATATCCCTTGCCTTATGCTGTAGGTACATTCCAGGTCCATGACAACTACCAAGCTCAATCAGGTAATCAATAATTTTGTGAACAGCATCAATTGCATACTGCAATGTATATTGCATATACAGAATTAAAATAGTAATAAAATCAGTAATACTAATGTAAGAGGAATTTAGAACAAGTTTTACTGCAATACTGTACTTAATGTTTATTACCCAATATATAATCTGTAGCTTGGCATGTATTATAATTGATGGTTAAAAATTATTCTTGTTAGAAAACCCTCATCAATATTTCAAATACACGTACTACTGTACTGTATATTGAGATATTCTAAAGTGAACATTCAACTCACATCTTGTAAAATTCATCCACCCAAACAGCATTAACAAGACTCGTAATTAGTAGAAACTTGTACAATAGTGTGTAAACCATGGCATGAGTGTTATGATTAAATAATTAAGTTTTTGTAAGCAAGGAGGCTACTTGATCAGATTATAAGTATTAGAAATATGAATTGTCTGTGTTCAGTAGACTAACATTTTTGTTGTATTTTATAACATGTTAATTCTGATAAATCAGATCTGTTGTAAAAGTATTTTCAATAAATATTTTTGTCTTAAGACCTTGTATATTTTATGTAGAAAATTTTAGAATAAAATTAAATACAAATTGCAGTGTAAATTCATTACCACTATGGATTATAAATAATGGACTGTAGACTTGCAAACTTGTAGGAGAAATTATGAAATTAAAATAAAAATGAATTGCCAGTTTTAAAAAATAAAATGTATGAAAAAGTGATCAGTAATCAAATTATTTTCTGAAGGTATAAAGTAAATGCAAAGATGGAAACATTTAGTATTACTGTATCATTCCCATATTAGAACAGGCATGTGAGAAAAGTTATTTCTGAGCTCAAATAATAATAATACACACTACCTTGTATACATGATATAAGATGTATCTTATTTTTCATCTTATGAATATACTTCCATATCAGTGTGAATACAGTTACTACATATTCCAGCATGAATAACAGAATTGCCACTTAGGCTTACCTAAATAACAAAAAGGCACAATACCATGACTGGAACTATACACAAATAACCCGCACATAAAAGAGAGAAGCTTACGACGACGTTTCGGTCCGACTTGGACCATTGACAAAGTCACTGTCAATGGTCCAAGTTGGACCGAAACGTCGTCGTAAGCTTCTCTCTTTTATGTGCGGGTTATTTGTGTATAGGCTTACCTAATTCTAAATGGTCTTTTAGAACTATTTGTGTTATCACAATTACTACTGATGCTAATACATCACTCACCTCTATATATCTTCAGTACTGCATGTACAACACTGATTTACCAGCAACAGATTGTCCAGCACCTCTTTTCAATACGTACTTTGAACAAAATAATGAGACTGCTCTTTTGTCTCTCTTTAAGAGTGGCTTCTTGTAGTGTTAAAAAGATTTTCCTGTCCAAGGAACTGAACCTTTCAGTTTTCTTCTGACCCACCCTAATTACCCCCCACTCCTCCCTCCCCTGCCCCATCCTTCCCATCCCTCCCCTCTTTTTCTTTTTCTACTTTTGGCCTTTGGGGTCCTCTCCTCAGGAATTCTAGTTCCTAGGTTGAGGGATGGATATAGTTGTCCATCCCATTGGTGGTGGTGTAGTTTGCTGCAGAATCAAGATCAGGGAATGTCCCAATCCCTCTCCAGTCTTCTGGAGAAGGTGGCTTGTGATGACTTTTGGGTGACTGGTGTATCTCTGATGCTACCTGTTGAATTCTGGGAGGTGGTCGGAGGAAGAGGTAAGCCTTGTGGCTTACATCTCAGGACGGACTATCTCTGGTCCCACAGCTAAATGACCATGACCATTAACAAATGCTACTCCTTCGATTACCTCGCACTCTTCCCAGGAAAGACTAGCATGACACTCCCTCCCCTTACTATGTTTCAAAGTACTCAATGAACCAAGTTTTTCATTCTGCAGTTGACATCTCCCACTGATTATCTTTCTGATCATAGTATCAGCAAGGTACTTCTGCACCATGTTGGTCAAAATATTTCATTTCATGCTCTTAAGAGTGATGCATGCATCGTCATGGTGCAAAATCCTGGCTAGACTCGCAATCTTTTCCTTCTTACCTCCATAGGTGATATTCCTGTCACAATTTGAAAACACATTTCTCTCAATTCTTGCAGTGGTACCATAGTTCTACCTCATACTATTGTTCAACGTGATTTCCAGACATGTGATACTGACATTCTGAAGCAACTTGAGCTCCAAGACCTTCCAATTCGCAAAGTGGACACTTAGGTACTACCTGCCCATGGGCGGAGACACTTCCATCCTCAGTTTACATTGCGGGACACCATGTAGTACAAGTCCGAGAGTTTATCCCCACACCACAACAGTGTAGAAATTGCTGGTGCTTCAGCCACCCAGTGAAATATTGCAGATCCATGGCAGAATCCCCAGTCTGTGGTGCTGCCAACCATACCAATACAGTGGAACCTCAAAAATCGAACTGCTCCCAACTCAACCAATTATGTAAGTGTATTTTTGTAAGTGCTTTTATAAGTGTATTTTTGAGGGTCTTAAATGGACTAATCTAATTTACATTATTCCTGATGGGAATAAATTCGTTCGGTAGTGGCACTCGAACAGCCTTCTGGACCAAAGAAAGTTCGATTTTTGAGGTTCCACTGTACATCCTGCAGCCTACTCCCCTCTTACCTTAACTGTAATGAGAGAAAGGTTTCATTTATGCCATGGCAGTCTCTCCTCTGCCTCCAAGGAGACTTCCACTACTTTTTTGTTCCAGCATTACTAAGTGGCCTCCAACCTCGTGGTACTTACTTCCACAATCTCCTCTGTGGTCACAGCTTCTACAGTCTCCTCTGTTTCTAACTCTTGCAGCCCTGGACTCACTTCAAACTGTCCTTGAGTCTTCATCATCTTGCTCGCATGTTTCTATGTCTACAAAACTTCCCACAACTACACCTTCCCTTCGCCTCTCTACTTCTCATAAGTCTAATACATCCTGAAAGTTCAAATCTCCTTTGACCCCTGCACTTATCCTTCCCAAACAATTTTTTCCTTTCCAGTCTCTGTGCCTAGTACTTTACTTTTTACTGTTTCTGTTATGGGTGTGGAGGTTCATCCTCCCCCTCATACTTGTACTCAATCGATAGAACAAATGGAGTTCTAAAGAAATAGCTATGAACTGGACTGGACTGGAACAATGGAATTGGCCAAAAATAGGGCTCAAAGTGGGCGAAATCGCCGATGCGTAAATGTCGCCGAGGTCGCTAACTTTGCAAGAAAGTGATTCCGTAAGTTTTCCATCAAATTTCATAGTTTTAGTGTCATTATCATCAGGAAAAGATTCTATTATTTCTTAATAAAATAATTTTTTTTTTTCAAATATTTTGCGACACCAGTAGACACTTCAGGATTTGGGGTTGCGACAGTCAAAGGGTTAATGTCACCTTTGCATTACTTATAACATTTCTGGTATATTTTTAAATGTTTATACAGTAGTGTACTGTATATTGTAATAAACAGAATAGAGGAAATCAGCTCTGATATACAGTGGAAACCTGGATTTCAGCCCTAATCTGTTCCAGAAGGTCGGGCTAAATCAGAAAAGGCCAAAAACCAAAGTAATATTTCCCATAAGAATTAATGTAAATGCAATTAATCTGTTCCACTCAAAAATATTAACAATAAATACATTTTTTAAAGATTAACTATACATAGTTTTACATACAGAAAACAATGAGAAATATAAAGCACAAATTTTAATAACACTACATACCTTTATTGAAGACTCTTGTTGGCGTATTGAAGAAGGCAAGGAGGGGAGAGTGTGTGGAGAACTTATTGTTTGGAAGGGGAATCCCCCCTCCATAAGGACTTCAGGTTTAAAGTCCCTCTCTGGAGTTACTTCCCTTCTTTGTTTTTTACTGGCACTAGGACCAGCGTGAGAGTCACTGCACCCATCGCACAAATAAACTGTCCAGAGAGGTCTGTTTCTGGCGTCTCTTTAACATTTGCCTAAAGTGGGACTAGGTTTTGTCACTGAACATGTTGCAGATATGGCTTGTTTGACCTTGATCAAAGTGATACTTCTCCACAAAACTTTGCACCTCCCTCCACTTTGCACAAATGTCCTAAATTCTTTCTTGAATTCAATCGTGTTTCTCACTTTCTTTACCAAAGGGCTGGCACTAGTAACTTTCTTTGGGCCCATGGTGGCTTATTTTGCAGTCCCACTCGATAAACAACCACAAAAAACAATGGATTATAACGAAATGTTTGGATGAATGCACGGAATGTTGCTCACTCACTCAGACACACAGCCAGACTGACTCACGAATGCAGGGGAATGGCGGGTGGACGTGTCCAATTCGGCCGATTTCCGAGTTGCCAGCTGAAATCCAGGACAGAATTTCGGCCAAAAAAGCAGCCGAAATCCGATTCGGCCGATATCCGCATTTCCCGATATCTGGGGTGCCACTGTACATTATTTAGGTATGCATACTGGTCAGAGAGCCCATTGCAAGTCAGAGTCGTCAGTAAATGAGTACGTTGTTAAGTGAGGAGAGGCTGTACAGGATAGTAACAGATGTTAGAAGAGGTCCACTGTTCACCACCCCTATTTACTCTGTCCCTTTTCTCTTCATCTTCACTCGTTCTTGACTTCTCTTCAGTTGCTCCCTTTATATATTGGTCTAGCATATAACTTTTCTCTTCCACCCCTGGGAGGTTCCAGCAGTTCATGTCTGTTCTTCCCCACTGCCATGTGCAAAAGCTCAAATACCTACAGTTGCTTCTCACTCCCTTGTTCTCAACCACTTCTGGTCTCATTCTCATGCCATTTGCACTCTTACATTAATGGTTCTAAATCCTCTGACGGTTTCGAGTTTGAAGCAATGTTTCCAGACAGCGTTGTGCGAGGGTATTTATTAGACTTGGCTAGCATTTTTACAGGTGAACTGTATGCAATTCTTATTGCAATTATTTATATTGCATCTATGCCTACCTCAGACTCGTGTAGTGCTTCACAAGCTATTAAAAAATTTGATTTGCCTTATCCTCTAGTTCTTCATATACAACTTTGGTTGCACTGCAGTTCTACCAAAAACATAAATCACTTTATGCTGGATACCTGGTCATGTTGGTGTTCAGGGCAACGAGTTGGCGGACTCTGCTGTGTGGTTAGCAGTACACAACCTCCCAGTTTCATATAGAAGTCCAGGTCGGTCATCACTAATCTGGTAATCAGTAATCCGGCACTAATTTCGGTTAGCATAATTTCAAATTGGTGGCGCTGCTTGCTACATAAGTCATTCCAATTTCTTTTTCTCCATTTATTGTTATAATCGGCTTATTTTAAGCCCTAGCCATGGTTCCAACGAATAAAAGAAATGCTTCTCGTTGTGTAAAGCACATACACTGTACATTGTCCATAAAAGACAGGGTGGTTTTGAAGCTACTGTCAGTCGCCATGAGCTCAGCTCACTCAGATAAGCTGTGACCTGTAAATTTGGGCCTGCATATGAGAGAACAGGTCTGTGTGTGTGCATTATATAAAAAAAACCTGCAGCACACAGTGCATAATGAGAAAAAAAACTGCGACTGTGTTTTCAGTGTAAAGCAGTGTA